AATTCTACTCTTATATGCCACTCCCAAATGGAAAGAAAACACACAGCACACAAAACTTGTACATGAAAATTCAGAGCAGCATTCATCATAATAACCAGAAAATGGAAATAACTCAAATGATTTCAGTGTTCAATTGATAAAAAAATAAATAAAACATGGTATATCCATGCATTTATTATGTGGCAATAAAAACAAAGTACTGATACATGGTAGAACAAAGATTAGCCTTGAAAACATTATGTTAAGTGAAATAATCCAGTCCCAAAAGACAGCATGTTATATTACTCTAGTTAAATAAATGTCAATCTATAGAGACAGAGTTAGATTACTGGTTGCCTAGGACTGAGTGTACGTACAAGTCCTGGTAGCATAGTGGGTTGCATGTTGAGTTGCTAATCTCAAGGTCAGCAGTTCGAATTCACCAGTGGCTTCTCAGGAGAAACATGAGGATGTCTGTTTCTGTCAATCTTTACACCCTCAGAAAACCTATACAGGGTAGCCAGGAGTTGGAACCAACTTGCCGGCACACCACTACCACTGAGTAGATAGGAGAAATGGGGAGTGACTACTAATGGCTTTTTTTTGAAGTGAAAAACAAAAAAAAAGTTTTAAAGTTCTAAAATTAGATTGTTGTGATAGTTGCACAACTCTGAATATACTACATGAAAATTTTAGCATGCATACACTTTTAAACGGGTACACTGTATAGAATGTGGCACTGCTGGAGTCCTGGTGTGGAGCTGTGGGCTAATGCGCTGGACCACAAAGTCACTTTGAACCACAAGGTTGGTGTTTCAAGCTCACCAACTGCTCCTCAGAAACTCTATACAGGGTTCACTATAGGTTGGAACCGACTAGATATCACCTAACAACAACAACAACAATGTGATGCTGTAGGTTAAAGCACTGGACCACAAGGTCGGTTTGAATCACAAATCAGTTTGAACCACAAGGTCGGCAGTTCAAACACACCAGTTGCTCCTTTGAAACCCTATACTGGGTCGCTATGAGTTGGCACTTAACAACAGCAACAACAAAGTCGTAATGGGAGTCCTGGTGTGAGGCTGTAGACTATGAACTGCAAGGTTGGTGGTTCAAAACTACTCCTTAGAAACCCTATAAAGAGGTGCTGTGAGTCAGAACTGACTGCCAGCATGTAACAACAACAAGAAAGTCACAAAGACGAGTGCTGGTAGCACAGTGGGTTAAGCAATTGGACCAAAAGGTCAACAGTTCAAACCAACCAGTCGCTATTCGGGAGAAAGATGAAGCTGTCTGCTTCACTGGAGCTTCAGAAACCATAGGAAGAAATTCTACTTTGTCCTATATAGGGTCTCTGAGTCAGAACTGACTCTACCGCAGTGGTGGTGTTTTGTTTAAAAATGTAAAAGAAAATTAATTTGGCTCACACACTGTAGTTTTCCCAATCCTCCCTAGCATGCTGAGTAAAATATTTTATTTTTTATTATCAATAATTTAGAGAGTTATTGATTATACCCTCAGAGCATTGTTATTGTTGTTAACTGTAACTGAGTTGGTTTTAACTCATAGAATCCCTGCATAGGGTTTCTGAGGAGCTGCTGGTAGATTTGAACTGCTGACCTTGAAGTTAGCAGTCCAGTGCTAAGCATTAAGGATTATCAAATTAAAGAAGCTGCTATACAGTTTTTTTCCATGGTGTGAACTTCAGGATATTTCAAATTTTCTTGGACACAGCATGATTTTAAACACGCTTAGGATTAGCAACACTCAGTAACCAGTTTGCTGTCAACGTCCTTATGGTAGAGAGAATATTCTGAGCTTTATATTGTCTTTGATGTTGTCAACATTTCATGTCAAATGAGAAAGATATTTAAATGCTTTTCCAATGCGTTCGTTGGATTCACGCCTCTTCCTTAATTGGACTGTCAGACACTCCAAGAGCCTGTCCGTTGCTTCTCTTTGATATTTACTTCTTTCTCTTAATGAATGACAGCGTTGGGGTTGATCTGAAATCTTTTATATTGTAATTCACTTTTTGAAGTTAGAATTGTTTCTATTGATTTTCTTACTCATTTTTATTAGCTTTATTTCATATTCCATCACTTTTAATCTAATTTTTTCAACTTTCTTTAATCAAGACGCCTTTATAAAAATATTCAAATCAGGTCTCTCTGATTTCTCCCTGGTTTAAATGAAGCATCCCCAAACAACTTTCAAAAGTGTATTAACTGGTGTATTAAGAGTTTATCAACATTGTAAATAAGTTTTTTGCATCTCATTTGCATTTAAGCTTCTCTGCTGGTCTTTGGAAAATCTATTTTAGAGTCTCTTATTTTTTGTCATACTTATGTTGTAAGGTTTGAACAGCTTTAAAACACCCCAGACTGTCTTACTACTCTCACTCTTCCAAATACCCAAGTTGGATCTGTGTTTAAAATACTCCATCCACAAGACACTTCCCTGTAATAGTTAAGATTTTGACTGGGTTAGGATTCTCAGTGGTTTAGCAGTAAAGACATAGCTATTCCCCATGATGAGATCTAGTATAATGTAATCACTTCTATGATGAAATCTGCTGTTAGCCAATCAACTAACAGGAAGTTTCCTCAGGGGTGTGGCCTGCTTCCACTATTGGACACCTGCTTCCAATATATTGGCCGAGCTTGCTTTGTTATTTTGCTGGGTCTGGGTTCTGCATCTGACTTGTCATTTGACTTTCCGTTTTCTCGAGCCAGTGGCCTGCCGTATTGCCTAGAGATCCTGGTGTCATCAGTAGGATGGCATTTTATCTGCCGACCTTGAATTCATTCACATTTGTAGCCAGAAGCCTACCGTCTGAGTTGCTGATCTTGGGTTCATCAGCTCCTACAACTATGTGAGTCAGAAATCTTGAGTTTGACATCTGACCTACTTGTCTGCCTCTACAACTGGTGAGCCATTTCCTTAATCTAAACCTCCCTACCACCTCTCTATGGATAAATGTTGTTGTTAAGTGCCCTTGAGTTGGTTCCAATGCATAGTGACTTGTTATAGGGTTTCTGAGGAGTGGCTGGTGGGTTTGAAGTGCTGACCTTGTGGTTAGCAGTCCAGTGCTTATCTTACAGTGCCACACCAAGACTCCTCTCTCTCTGTCTCTGTAAATATATATATGAAGGAGCCCTGGTAGCACAGTGGGTTACTCATTAGGCTGCTAACCACAAGATCAGCAGTTCAAATTTATCAGTTGCTCTGAATGAGAAAGATGAGACTTTCTGCTCCCATAAAGTTTTACAGCCTTGGAAACCTTATACAGACTCACTATGAGTTGGAATTGACTTGACAGCACATGACAACTATCTATCTATCTATCTATCTATCTATCTATCTATCTATCTATCTATCTATATATATAGTGCCATTGAGTCAGTTCTGATCCATAGCAACCCTGTATAGGGTTTCCAAGGAGTGGCTGGTGAGTTTGAACTGCTGACCTTGCAGTTCAAACTGACTTTGCAGTCTAGTGCATTAACCCACAGCACCACACCAGGACTTTCTCTCTCTATATCTATCTATCTATCTATCTATCTATCTATCTATCTATCTATCTATCTACTGGTAACTGCAAGGTTGGCAGTTTGTACCTACCAGCTGCTCTTGGAAACTCTATACAGGGTTGCTATGAGTCGGAACCAACTCAACAGCATACAACAACATATATATCAACATATATATATATATATATACAAAGTAATCGAGTCTATGATTACTATGTCTACTATACTTTGGTTTACTTATTCTGGAGTATATTTCATGTTATGAAATTGTCAATTTGGAGTCTGTCAATTTGGTCCTCAGTTTCTACCTTAAATAGAGTGAACTGATCTTAATTGATGACCATTAAAATTATCTTACTTTTGAAAAATGTATGAAAATACTTAACCATGTGAATACATTGTAGGCTCTTTGCAGAGTCTTGGAAGGGGCCCATGCCAATGATGAGCCCTGTAGCAGGAGCATCACTAGCTTCCCAGTAAACCGGCCTCTGCTCCCTTTCAAAGCCATTCATTTGTTGGCTTCTCACTGGTATAAAGATAAAAAGTAAGTCTGCTTCTGTAAAGACTACATCCTAGGAACCCTATGGAGCAGTCCTACCCTGTCACATGGGATTGCTGTGATTCAAAATCAAGTCGAATACACCTTGAAATCAGCAACAACAACTACAATTAAAACAACAGACAGAAACAATTACAAATGAACCAAAATCTTCAGGACTGGGTCTGGGAATTTATACCTTTGCGAAGCTCCACCAGCGTGACTAGACCCAGTAGATTTTTGGTGTTTCTCAGCCTAACAGTTTGAGACACACAATGCAGTCCACTTCCACATCCCCAGGGCTGATCTTTGTGGCTTCAGTGGATTTGCGGTTATGCCAGCCCACAGCAAGAGATTGGCTGAGGGATGGGTATATGACTTCATCGGGACCAATGAGAATCAGGCCTAGAATTTTGACTGGAATGACAGTAAAGGAGAAATCTTTCTTTCTGTAGAGTTGCCAAAAGATGAAAATGAGTCTGAAGCAACTGGCATATGGTTATCATGTGACCTTAAGGGTAAAGTCTACCCAGCAAGAGGCAAGTGTGGAGGCCCTAGTGGATGGAGGGGCAAAGCTTTTGTGCTGGGCTATGGACCCAGAGGCCACTCAGATCCCAACACTGCCCTCAAGGAGCTCCCAGTTTGTGAGGTGATGACAGTACCCACAGTGTACACATAGTGGATGGCAGGAGGCTGTTAGGACCCCAGAACCTGTGGGGCAGAGGAGGGCACTCATGAGTGGGTGGGCTTGAAGCACAATGAGACCGCAGGTTTGCTCCAGAAGATGACAGTGCATCACTAGGCTAGCTAAGACTGAAGAAGAGCTGCCAAGTGTGAGAGTTATTTAAAAGGAGGCAGAGAGAGAAGGCAGGAGTCTCCTGGGAAGGCCACCAGCTAAGTCCTTCACGGGGCCTGCCCTCTATCCTGCCACACTCAGTCTTACTCACCTTGCCAGGTGCACACATGGTTCCATCCAGTGGGGGACCCTTCTTGGTCTTACAAAAGTAGGGGTTGTCAGGGTGGCTGCACCACAGCTGCTTACAGGGGTCGAAGGTTCGGAACTGCAAGATAAGGTATATCCACAGCTCACCAGGCCACCTCTCACTGATGACCACTGTGGGCCACCCTGCCTGAGCCTGAGGCTGAGATACTTCAGCTGGACTGCTACAAAGTCATGCAAGGCCAATACAGCTGATCAGTGGCTCTGGGGCCCAGAGAACCACATGCATTGCTGGGGTTGCAGTGCCCTCACATGCTGCTCCCCATCTTACCCCCAACCCCTCTGGCACCTCTCAGCCTCTCAGGGCTGCTGGCTCCAAGGAACTACCTCGGTAGGGTCCTTGCCCACTTGCCATGATACCTGGCTGATAAATCATGAAGCTCTCCTCTAACTTCCCATTGCTTTTTCCCTGACCATTCAGCCACCAATCCTTACAATGAAACACAGATCTGGCCATTCCACTCTTCCTGCTAAAACCTTCTCAGAGCCCTCATCACCAAGAAAATACAATTCATCAACCTGCTTAGGTGGTCATGTAAGGTGCCAGGCCAGCTGCATGAAGATTTAGGACAAGCTCCTCCTCCCTCCAGCCTTGTCGACTGGCTCACACACTCACCGCCGTGCACATCATGTAACCTAGACCGAAGTCGAAGCGGCACTGCTCATTCATGGAATAGTGCAGACCCGGGAGCTGCGGCAATGCTGGCCAGTCATGGGCGAAAGGGTCATCTCGCAGGCAGTCGTAGGAACTGTGAAGGGGACACACTTGGCACTGAGAAGCAGCTGAGGACCCCTGGAGCCCATGGACAGTCCCCACCTCACTGTTGCTTCTCTTTAAGATTCCCCGACTGGGTCTGTCTGGATGCCAGTGATCGATCATGAGATCTATGAAAGGTCCAGCTGCTCTCCTCACCTGTCTGGGTCCCCAATCATGGGAGAACATGTACAGCTTGTCCTGCTCTCCCCCTCTCTCCCCTGCATGTCTGGCTAGTAGACCAGTAGGTCTGAGGATTCCAGCTGGGCCCAGAGCCTGGGTCAGGGAGTGTGAGAACCCAGGTATACCTCCCTCCTAAGCTGAGCTGGCAGTTCCTGGAAAGGCAGTCCTTTTCCAGTGGGGAGCCACACTGGTACTCACTGGAGGTAGCGGTTCAACTCCTGCTGGCTGCATCGAGACCAATGGAAGCGGTGGAAAGCGGCCTGCACCAGGGGCGCCATGATGCTGCCCAGCCTCACCTCGTCACCACAGCGGTTACCTTGCCCATCGTGCTCCATGCCAAGCCTGTGAGAGAGCCACAATGGACCCTCCCCTGACCGTGCTGATCTCCCAATACCACCCCCACCCAAAGGTCAGCATGCTCCCTGGGCCCCACCAGCTGATTTCTCCCAATAGCTACCAAGTCCCCTACCAGGCAGATTCTTACAATCAAGAGTGGGAGTATTTTCAGGGTGGTGGTGGTGAAAAGGGATTTTCGTTCAGCCCAGGGGGAGACAGGTATACTGTCCCCGAGCTGGGCATTGTTGTATGAAGTATGCATTGGAGTTTCCCAGATACTCTCTCCACACACTCTTCTGTGAGATTTCCTGGTAATGCTGGCAGGAAAGGCACCTGGGGCGCTGCCATGCTCTCTTACCTTGAGCAAGCATCTCATAAGTTCCACTTATGCTTTAAACAATGGGGTAAGCAGCCCTCTTTCTCTGGGGCTTGAATGGGAGCATGAAGTAAGGCCCCAGCTCCTGTCCAGGTATGGGGACTTGATCTATTTCTTCAGCAGAAAATGAGCCAATTCCTTACAGAGCTGGGACACAGAGCATCATGTCCTAGGAGAAGGTCCCACAGGGCAGGCCCCTCTCAGGGGCACAGGGAAGACTTGGGCAGGGGTTCTGGGAGAAAACAAGGAATGCCAGGTCACTTACACATGGCCAGTCTCATGGGCTACCACAAATGCGGAGGAGAAACCGTCTTCATGGTTCAGGGTGCAGCTGCGAACCGGGTGGCACATTCCAGTAACAGGAGCGTAGCCTGGGGGGAAGACAAAAGGCACTTCAGCTCTCAGGCCCTGAGCCCGCATGTGGCAGCCCCACGTCTAGCTGAAGTCCTGAAACAGAGGGTCTAACTCCGGAGTGCTTCTCCTCAGGGCCACAAAACCCCCTACCATCTCCAGAACAATGAAGCCGTGAGTAAACAACCGGGTCTGCTGGTAAACCTCAGAAGACAGTCCATGCCCAGTATCCATGTAGGTTATGTACCAGGCTCACCAGTACCCTACGGCTGGCTACCCAGTCTCTCCATGTCCACACTGATCAGGGTTTCTGACTCCTAAACTACACCTTGCTACTGTACCTCCTCACTCTACCTTGAGGTGCACTGACCTCTTTGTCTCCCCACTGCATCTGGAGAAGCTTCCCTGAGTCTCCCAAGTCCTCTTTGGGCTCTTGTGAGACTCCGACCATGTCCCTAGAGGCAGCAGTGAAGGTCAGCATCATGATTAGTGAGCCACAAAGCTCTACTAAGTCCCAAGTAACAATAACAGCTGTGAGCAAACAGCAGGGCATCACTAGATGTGCAATTGCCCAGGGACTGAGCTACTGAGAAGTCAGACAAGGCCTGTGGGGATGACCACGTCAGCAACAGGCCAGCAAACTCTGCACTCCTAGCTGAGAAGACTCTGAGCCACATTTCCATTGGAGGATTTCCAGTCTCATATCTCCTTCCAGATGGGAAATCTGGGGTCGATTTCTGACCAGTGTCTTATAAGCAGCCACCTCCTGTCTGTCAGTGATTTGCATGTTGCTATGATGCTGCACGGAGTCCTGGTATGGCATTGTAGGTTAATGTGCTGGACTGGAAAGTTGGTTTGAAATACAAGGTTCAAGCTCACCAGCCGCTCCTCGGAAACCCTATACAGGGTTGCGATGGGTTGGAACCAACTCAAAGGTACTTAACAACAACAATGATGCTGTACGGAGTCCCGGTGTGGTGCTGTGGGATACAGAAGTGGACCACAAGGTCGGTTTGAACCATAAAGTCAGTGGTTCAAACTCACCAGTCACTCCTTGGAAACCCTATACAAGGTCGCTATGAGTTGGACCTAACTCAATGGCACTTAACAACAATGATGCTATATGGGTCTCAGCAAGTTTCCACAGTAAGATGGACTAGGAAGAAAAGCATGATGACCTGCTTCTGAAAATCAACCTTGGAAAACCTATGGGTCACAACGGGTCTGATCTGCAGAAGTTTACAAGGGATGATGGTACAGGACCAATCAGCTTCATTCTGTTGAGCATGGAGTCACTATGAGTCAGGTTATGACATGATGGTGGCTAACAGCACCTAGGTGTGGTACTGTTGGATAAGCACTGGACTTCTAACCATGAGGTTGGTGGTTCCAGTTCACCAGTCGCTCCTTGGAAACTATACAGACAGAGTCACTATGAGTTGGAACTGACTCTATGGCACTTAACAACAACAACACCTCTCTGTTGGGAAGGAGTTGGGGACTGAATACGGTGCCCTCAGAGGTAGAGGGTGGGGAGAAGGGAGTGGAGCAGGGCAATCCATTTGCAGCGATGCTTCTGACATAAGGATTCCTAAGGATTACCCCCAGCCACACTCCCTAATCAAGTGATTTTTGAAGAACTACTGAATTCACCAGTTAATAGTGAGGATCCACCATGGGTTTTGACAACCTACTTACAGTGTGTGGCACAGGGGAGTATATGCAAATGGAGAAACTGGGAACAACCCAAGCAGCAGGAAGGTGAGAAGGCCTCCTCATGGTGCATGTGATGGTGTGATGGGGTGGGACGAATCACAAAGAAGCCAGAGATACTTTATACAAGGTGTTCTCACAGACAGGGAAAGTCATGATAAAGGCTTCACATAAAACAGAAATACCCGAGGAAGGGTTTGAACACTCGTGCTGGTTCTCATTTAAGCAAACTGAAAACCGCTTGGACAAAATACAGGAATGCAAACAGCAGGTTGGCCAGGAGAATCATGTGTGCCATTTACATCTAGGGTGTTCTAAGAAGCCCTGAGTAGTGCATATGGTCACCATGTTTTGTTGCTAACTGAAAAATTGGCTGAGCAAGTCCATTCAGAACCATCTCAGAAGAAAGGCTAAAACAGCAGATATTTGAAACCCATAGCTCAGTTCTGCTCTGATCCACATAGGGTGGTCATGAATTGGAGTCAACCAATGGTAAAGGGTAACTGTTTTCCTAGAGGTCAGCCAATCGGGGAACCCCAACTCATAGGCCCCTAGTCTAGCCTGGCTCTTCTCAGAATCCACTGGGAGATCCCAAGGAAATTTGTTCAAAGAGAAAAACAGAGAAGAGGAGGGCCAGTGGGATATGGACTGGGTTGGTTGTTTGACTTCTCTGAAAAAATAGTGTAATCTAACCATTGTCTTTAAGGTGCTCTGGTAGCATAGTGGTTACAAATCAGGCTGCGAACCTCACAGTCAGCAGTTCTAAACTACTAGCAGCTCCATGGGAGAAAGATGAGGCTTTCTGCTCCCATAAAGATTTACAGCCTCGAAACCCCTGTACAGGGTTGCTATAAACTGACTCTATGGCACATAACAACAACAACCATTGTCTTTACCCTTGAAACAAACAAGAAAATCTGCATATAAAAGTTGATTTTGCTTTGCAGATTTTCAGATAATAGTAAAACCTGTGAGAGCTTTAACTACATAGGACTGCCTGGTTTTTCTAGGTTGCACAAGTTTCCCCCCTTTAACAGGGTACAAACTTAACCACTTTTTTTATCACTCATTTTAGTGAAAAATATTTGAATTTTCCTTCACTGACAGGTTTCTGCCTTATATTGGTTCTGGCTTTCACAGATTTGACTGCAATTGGAAGATCAAAACTTTGAGATTGTCTATTTGTCATTTTTGTGTCACAGTGAAAATATTTTCCATTCAGCCTACTTAACCTTTATGGAACTTTACGATCTGAAGATTTGTAAAAAGTATCTTTATTTTTACAGTATCTCCTTCCTTCTCATTGTATATGGTTGTTGTTCTCTACAACACTGTTGTTCTCTCATTATTAGGCAGACGTACCTCCTAGATGGCCTCTTACCTTTGTTCTCATACTCTAATCTTTTGTCCTATTGCTCCAAATTGGGAGAGTCACTTGGGCTTTTTACTAGTTTTTGCATTTTCATTTTACCTGTCATTTTTGGATTGCTAATCACAAGGAGCTCTGGTAGTGGTTACAAATCGGGCTGCTAGCCTCAAGGTCGGCAGTTTGAAACTACCAGACATTCTGCGGGAGAAAGATGAGGCTAGAGAAGATTTACAGCCTTGGAAATGCTGTATATGGTCACTATGAGTCGGAACCAACTCCACAGTACTTAACAACAACAATCACAAGGTAGGCAGTTCAAATGTACCAGCCGCTTCTGGGAAATCCTATACAAAATCACTATGAGTTGGAACCAACTTGATGACACTTAACAACAGTGTATATATAGAGCGCGAGCGAGAGCGCGAGCGCTCTGGTAGCGTAGTGGTTACGAATCGGGCTGCTAAGCTCAGGGTCAGCAGTTCGAAACTACCAGCTGCTCCGCGGGAGAAAGATGAGGCTGGGTTAATGCGCTAGATTGCAAAGTCAGTTTGGACTGCACTGTTGGCGGTTCAAGCTCACCACACCTCGGAAACCCTATATACAGGGTTGCTATGGGTTGGAACCAACTCTATGGCACTACACCAACGTATATAAACACACACACACACTTCTGCTGCTGCTGTTGCTGCTGCTGTGTGCCACTGAATCAGTTCCGACTCATCAGTAACCCTGTAATCTTTACAGGAGTAGAAAGACTCATCTTTCTCCCTCAGAGTGGCAGGTGGATTCAAAATGCTGAACTTGCAGTTAGCAATCCAATGTGTAACCCGTTATGCTACCAGGGCTCCGAGGCATGTGTATATGTGTGTGTGTGTGGTGTAGTGAATTATTTAATGCCTTTTCTAGCCACAGTAAACTCCCACCAAATGAAGAGAAGGTGGGGGAAGATGCTGATGGATTATATGATTCACTTGTGAGTGATTGTTAACAGGATTGTGATTGTAAAGAGTTGACAATCTAATGAGGGTGTTGGTAAATGCTATCTTATCATCCTACTGAGTTTTAAATGAGCCATTTCAGAAGCAATAATGGGGGATTTCACTACCATCAAAGAACCAGGAGTGAAGCGCACGTGTCCTTTGGACCCTGAGATTCTTGTGCTTTGCACTTCCTCAAACCAGTGACAGATAGCTGTGGTTCCAAAGGAGTGGCCGAGAATCAGCAGCAGCATCAGAACCAAGAGCCAGAGCATGAGAGAGGGATGGATTTCCCAGGCCTGAGAGAACATAAAGCTGAGTGGCTTTGGGCAAGGAGCATGCTTGTAGAGTGAGGTACCTGCAGGCACTTTGTTGCGAGAGCTAGGTTACTGACCCACAAACTAGAGAGGAGTGCCTTCAGGCTGAGGTTTATGATGGAATGGTGTGTACTCTGGGTATTTATCAGCATTGGCCAGGCAGAGAGAAGTCTACCTGTGAGCATGACTGAGGAGCGGCTGTCCTGACTGGGAACATCTGTGTTCTAAGCATTTCTGACCCTGAATTGTACCTGTTAAGTTCCCTAATAAACCCCATAACTGTGAATAAGGTGTCTGAGTTTTGTGTGGCTATTGCAATTAATTATTGAACCCAATTGAGGAGTACACAGGGTTATAGGAGAAATGTTTGACGCTCAATTTTTTGCAATACATATCCCAAATCAAATCAAATATATATATTTATATTTGTTGCTGTTAAGTGCTGTTGAGTGGGTTCCAACTCATAGCAACCTTGTATAGTGTTTCTGTGGAACCTGGTGAGTTTGAACCTCTGACCTTGTAGTTAACAGTCCAGTGCTTATCCTACAGCACCACACCAGGATATAGTCTCTCCCCACCCCCGTCGTATAAACATTTGCCTATTTGTTTTTTCATGTGTATAGTTTAGTGACATAAGTTATATTAATCAGTGCAACTAACCCCATCATATTTTTAATTTCATAAAATTAAAATTTAATTTCATAAAACTCTTTGCTGTTCTCTATTTTAACATCACAACCTAGTCTGATATTATGGATGTAATTTATCAAATATTCTTGGAATGCTACTTTTTAAAAAGTCCTTTTATATTCTCTAAATTATCTCGTTTTCCTTAGGAATCAGTTTTCTATATTTTTGTTTTCAATTTTGGTCCTTCTTATCCATGCTATACTTTTTGTTTTGGTTTGGTTTGGTTAATGTCTGATAATCATTATCTGTGTCCTCACATTAGTAAAGAGGTCACTTTATATAAAATATTGGTGGCTTTCCTATCCCTCAGAGCAGCCGTTCTCCTCAATCCCCATGTAAGTTTTCCCCCAGGTGAAAACAAAACCAGAGTGCTCTGTTTATAGGGATGGGGCATGTCAGTGGGCTATTCTCATGTAGAGTTTCCAGGGAAGCTAGCAGCCCTCCAAATGGAGAGGTCTGTCCTCCACAGCACCTACACCACACTGAGTTCCAAAATCATATTTTATCTAACCATTGTGATGTCATTGGTGTTGGAAAAGAAATAACTGTTGTGCCATACCCAAAACCAAACCACACTCGTTGTTGTGAAGTGCCATCAAGTCAGTTCTGACCCATAGCAACCCTGTAGGGGATTTCCAAGAAACAATTGGTGGTGAGCTTGAACCACTGACCTTGCAGTTCAAACTGACTTTGCAATTGAGCACATGAACCCACAGTGCCACACCACGACTCCACACCCATAGAGATGTTTTATTGAGATTAAATTAATTGTGTTTCCCTGATCAGGATCCCTTGAGAGTCCCTACTTATACAAATACGGAGTAGGTTGTCTTCAGACAGAAGTGCTTCAGAGCTGACTCTTCAGAGAAGAATGAAGAAAGTCTTTATATACCAATATGGATGTTCCGGTGAGAGAAAAAAAGGAAGAAGCACAGCAGGGGGTATGGTAATTCAGAGAAGAAAGTAGGTGAAAGAATAAGCATACAAATCATATAAATATGCCATTTTTATCAAAAGAATGACTGGAATGATAATACACCAGAAACTAATAACAATGACTACCTATAGAGGATGGAGGTGGGTGGCATGAATTAACTCTGAACATGCAAATTGATATAGATTTTCTAGGTTGTTGTTGCTGTTAAGTGCCATCAAGTCGGATCCAACCCACAGTGACCCTGTATAGGGTTTCCAAGGAGCAGCTGGTGAGCTTGAACTGCCAACCTTGCAGTTCAAACGGCTTTGCAGTCTGGCATATAGCTCTTTTTAAAAAAGGATACGGATACATACATAAAAAATGCACCAACATAAGGTTTGTTGTTGTTACATTGCGCTGAGTCGGTTCCGACCATAGCAACCCTGTGTAGGGTTTGCAAGGAGTAACTGGTGGATTTGAACCGCTGACCTTGTGGCTAGCAATCCAGTGTTGATCCTAGAATGCCATACCAGGACTCCAACATAAGGGTTGTTGTTGTTAAGTGCTGTCGAGTCAATTCCAACCCATAGCGACCCTGTATAGGGTTTCCAAGGAACCGCTGGTGGGCTTGAACCACCGACCTTGCAGTTCAAATGACTTTGCAGTCTGATGCATTAGCCCATAGCACCACACCAGGACTCCAAAGGTTTAGCCCTTGAATTAATCACAAAGTTATCATACTGGCACAGCCACCACCTTGGTCAAATTATGAGGATATCAGAGCTATAGCAACTCCTGTGTCCAACCACCACTCCCTCCCTACTCTCTACTATCTTGACTTTTAACACCATATATTAATTTTGCCCACATTTCAAACTTGAAATAGATGGAGTCATAAATATATGTCCTTCTCTGTTTGACTTTTTACTCAATATTAAATATGTGAGATTTGTCCATTTTGTGGTGTGTAGTTGTATGGTTCTATTTATTGCTGATGAGTAGATGACAATTTATTTATCGACTCTCCTGTTGATGGGTTTAAGTTATTTCCTGGTTAGGAGTTATTACAAATAGTACCAACAGGCAATTCTTTTGATGCACATGCCTCGTATATAGACGCTTACAAGTGTATATGCTGAGTGGGTGTATGTTGACTTGAACATAACAATAATAACCAGTTTTCATAGAGTTGACTGCAATTCATGGCATCCCTGTGTGATTCAGAATAGAACTGTGCTCCATAGGGTTGTCAATGGCTGAGGTTTCCAATTTAAATTGTTTGTATCACCCAGGAACTACTCAGCTTTAATCCCTCAATTCTGACTCATAGCAACCCTCGCTAAATTTTTTTATAAGCAGTTCTGAATTTTAATGTTCAGTTTTTGTGGCTAGAATATAGAAAAACTATTGATTTTGGCGTATTGAATTTACGTTCAGCAACCTTGATCAGCAGAGTCCTGGTGTGGCGCTGTGGGCTAATACTTCAGACTACAAAGTCGTTTGAACTGCAAGGTCAGTGGTTCAAGCTCACCAGCAGCTCCTTGGAAACCCTATACAGGGTCGTTAAGGATTGGAACCGACTCGACAGCACTTAACAACAACAGCAACCTTGATCAAATTACTTAGTATTTCTAATAATTTATTTTTATGTTCTTTTGGATTTTCTAGTACATAAGCACATAAGAGTTTGGTTTCTTCCTTTTTGAAACTTACATTTTTGTTTCTTTTTCTTAAATTCAATTTTTTAAATTTTATTGAGACTTTTACTATGGTTAAGAGGAGTCCTGGTGTGGCACTATAGGATAACCACAAGGTTGGCAGTTCAAACCCACCAGCAGCTTCTTGGAAACTCCACACAGGATCACTAGGAGTCACAATCGATTTGATGGCACTTGACAAAAAAAAAGAGTAGTGTGTTTTGATATATTTTCTATGTGTACTTATAAAATGTGCATTCTTAAATTATTTGTATAATATTCTATGAGTATGAGTCAAAAATTATCTGCACTCTGATTATATTAAAACACCTCTCCACGTCCACGTCCAATAACGATACTGAGCACGCACGTGAAATGATTCTGTCGAATAGACGAATCCACTGATTATGTGGCAAATCACAGACTTGGGTTTTCAAAAGTTTGTGTGAGATGGGTACTGAAACAACTCATGGAAAAGCATAAACAGAAGCGTTTGAATATCTGCAACAAAATTTGGACCAGTACTCAAAGGAAGGTAAAAGTTTCTTTAAAAAAATTATTATTAGTGATGAGACATGGATTCATCACTATGAGCCTGAGAGTAAACAGCAGAGTATGGAATGGAAACATCCTCAATCACTGACCACCAAGAAGTTCTACTGTCAATCATCTGGAAAATTCATGCTTGCAGTGTTCTGGAACTTTCAAGGGCCAGTATTGGAATATTATCATAAAAAAGGTTTCACAATCAACAATGCTCAGTACAATGAGTTGCTCACTGAAGAGTTGAAGCCTAAACTTCAGATTAAATGCAGTGGACTGCTATCTAAGGGCATTGTGATCTTAGATGACAATGCACGTCCACACACCTCTGCCCATACTGTTGACACTCTGCAAAAACTTAATTTTGACATTTTAAAGCATCTTCCCTATAGTCCTGATTTTGTTTCATTGGACTTTCACCTGTTTGGTCCCCTGAAAGGAGCCCTTCAAGGACAAAGATTCACTTTTGATGAAGAAGTTAAGACAGTGGTGCATTCGTGGCTCACAGCTCAGCCTAAAACAATTTTAATAAGGGAATACAAAATCTTGTTTACAGATGGACAAAGTGTATTGAAAAGCAAGTTGAATATATTTTTAAATGAAATATTTTCTAAGAGTTGATTAAAATAAATTCTATAGCCAAAGTGCAGATAATTTTTGACTTGCCCCTGTATATGTATCAGTTAGGCCAGTTTGCTTAGTAGTATTGTTAGAATCTTCAAATATTTATTGATTTTTAAATCTATCAGCTACTAAGAGAGGTGTGTTAAAATCTGCAACTATGATTGAGGATTTGTCAGTTTCTTCTTTTAGATTTGTCAGTTTTTTACAGTTTGACTTTTTATGTAAAATCTCCAAAATTTAAAATGTTTCCAAATTTGTGTTCTAAAAACTGGGAGAAACAGACATCAAGCAACCCAGTTACAGACTCCACCTGGCCTTGTGGCTAGCAACCCCAGCCTCTGTGATTCATCCCCTTCCCACCTTCCCCATCTGTCTTTGGTGTTGTTTCTTGGAGACAATGGCAGATGTCCTAGTGGTTTTCTGGAGCTGGTTCACTAACACTTACCCAGATTCTCACTATGATGAGCAGCTGAAAAGGAACCAAGGCCCCTCCCTGACCTGCAATTCCACCCAGGTTGGAACAAAGGCTGCCTCAGAAACCCTCTCAGGCTAATGGTAATCCTAATCTTGTCTCTGGCCCCCTGCAGGAGTGATGCTCACCTTGCATGCCTGAAGGCCCGAAGTCCTGTCGGGTGAGGAAGATGGCGTGGTCGTGGTATTCATCGTGGTCTGTGTCTGGTTTCTGCTGGAGGTAAGCCCAGCGGCAGACATTCTCTAGGCTCTGGGATGGGTTCCCAATCTCGATGAGACTCATGGACTGCAGAGGAGTGGAGAGAAGTAGAAGAGGGGGCTAGCATCTGGTGGGCCAGTTGAGGTTGAATATTGTTGTTGTTGTTAAGTGCCTTCGAGTCGGTTCCGACTCATAGTGACCCTGTACAGATTTTCCGAGGCTGTAAATCTTTACGGGAGCAGAAAGCCTCATCTTTCTCCCGTGGAGCAGCTGGTAGTTTCGAACTGCTGACCTTAAGGTTCACAGCCTGATCCGTAACCACTACGCTACCAGAGCCAGCCACAGTATTAACCATTTTCATCCATTAGAGTCTGATCTACCTTCCCCTTGGCTCCATTCTTACGGAAGAAAAAAATCCCTCAGTAACACGCATCTACATAAGTTTGCATTCAAGATCAAGACATGTGTAGATACAAAAGTCTGAAATCATCTAAGAAATCAAATGGTCCATTTACCTCACCTCATTTTCAGTGATCCACTCAGGTCTCTCTCTAGGTATAATAGGCACCTATTCTGTGCAGGTCCCAGGACAAGAGGTAAATACAACATAGACCCCACCCCTAAAGCTCACAGAGGGCCCAAGATAGAAATCCCAATATGCTATTCAAGCCCAGAGAAGACAGGAATAACTTATGCTGTTCCTTTTCTGAAGATATTTACAGAAAACAATACAAGGGGTGGAAAACTAAAGCAAATATTGCAAAGGAACCATATAAAGATCAGCCGGAAGATAAAAGATGGTGGCTAATACCCATGGGACAGCTGGTCTGTCTCATACAAGTGGGAGAAGAGCTCTGGACAGGTCTTTAAAGAGGAGTGAAGAGTCCCACTAGGGAAACAGTTTGGTGATTCATCAAAAAATTTAACAGGGATCAACCTCGTTGTTGTTGTTGTTAAGTGCCATCAAGTCAGTTCTAATTCACAGCTACCCTGTATAGGGTTTCTGAGGAGTGGCTGCTGAGTTTCAATGACCAACCTTGCAGTTCAAACCAACCATTGTTGTACTGTTGTTAAGTGCTGTTGAGTCGATTCCGACCCATAGTGACCCTGTATAGTGTTTCCAAGGAGCAGCTGGTGAGCTTGAACCACCAACCTAGGACTCAGCAATTCCACTCCTAGGTCTATACCCAAAATAATTCAAAGCAGGGACACAAATGTTTATTATAGCACTACTCACAAGGGTCAAAAGGTGGAAACAGTCTAAATGTCCTTCATCAGACGAATGAATAAACACAATGTAATGAGTCCTGGTGTGGCGCTGTGGGTTAATGCGCCAGACTGCAGAGCCGTTTGAACTGTGAGATTGGTGGTTCGAGCTCACCGGCTGCTCCTCAGAAACCCTATACAGGGTCGCTATGGGTTGGAACCGACTCTACGGCATTTAACAAAAACAACAACAATGCATATATACAATTACAATGAAATACTACTCTGTATATACTTAAAATGAAACTACTACTCATTCATAAAGATAAATGAAGTTCTGATATGTACCACAACATACACAAGCTTTGAAGACAACATGCTGAATGAAATAAGTCAGTCACCAGAGAATAATTACTATATGACTCTACTTTCATGAACTATCTAGAATAAATAAATGTCCAGAGTCCAAATGTTTTAGTGGTTACCAGGGCTAGGAGGGAGGGAAAAGGGAGTCATTGCATAGGGGTTACTGAGTTTCTGTTAGTGGTGGTGGAATGTTTCGGAATCAGATAGAGCTGATGGTCACACAATGAGTTGAACATAATCAAAGCCACTGATTATGTGCAAATGTTTTGTTAAATATACTTTAACAAAATATTTTGTTAAATATACTTTTACCACAAGAAATTCATTTTTAAAGCTAATTCCACCAGAAAGACATACCCCAGCATCAGGGCCAGATAGCAGGGGTCAGGCCAAAGGTAGGACAGAGCCAAAGGCAGGAGCCAGGCTGGAACAGGGTGAAAATTCCCACCTTCCTCAGAGGGTGGGCTTGAGGGAAGTACTACGAGGGTGTTGCAAACTCAAATGCCAAAAGGTATAAAGTAGGTAAGGTAAATCAGTGAGTCAGGTTGGCTGTAAGAAGAGTAAGTTGTTTATTTTCCCAGTTGTGAAGGGACAAGGGTACAGAGAAGTATTTCCCTATTTTGGGAAAGCGAAGCAAGAAGGAGTGGTGAACACAACAGTAACCTGGGCACCCCATGCACAGCAGAGAAGGCAGTTTCCCCTCAGCACCAGCCCACTGCAAGACAGAGGCTGAGAGATGCCAGGAGACACTTAAAATCTGAGTTTTAAAACTAAGCTTTGTTGTTGTTAAGTACCGTGGAGTCGGTTTCAACTCATAGTGACCCCGCACAGGGTTTCCGAGGCTGAAGAAAATAAACTTACATAAGGAGCTCTGGTAGCGTAGTGGTTGCAAAACAGGCTGCGAACCACAAGGTCAGCAGTTCAAAACTACCAGCTGTTCCGTGGGAGAAAGATGAGGCATTCTGCTCCCGTAAAGATTTACAGCCTTGGAAACCCTGTACAGGGTCGCTATGAGTTGGAACTGACTCCATGGCACTTAACAACAACAACAACAATAGTAAATGTGGCTCAAATTTTAAAAAGAAAGAAATAAGACAAAAGAGGCCAAGTTCATTCCCTAGCTCACCAGATCAAAGGCCAGCCCTCAGGTAAACAGCCCCTCCTTCATTTATTTCCAGACTGGACCCAACAATGGACAATCACCTTACTCATCCCAGATGCTGGGTTTCTATTGGTTCCTCGAAGGTGCCTAGCCACTCTCTTGGCAGCCAAAAGATTCTGCTGTTGTGGCAGGATAATTTATTGAAATATTGATTTGTGTTTTGTTCTTGCTTTGTTTCTCCTTCACCAATTCCAAGAAGGCAGGTTGCCATTTGAGTTATCCAACCCAAAAGGGTCCAGATCAGAAGTTTTCTAGGATCCTTTCCCAGCTTGGGTGTTCTGAGGAGACTCCATTGGGTTCCCCGGAGGGAAGAGATGTTGGAAGGGCTTGCAAGTGCACAGATAACGGTAGGTGAGGCTTCAATGGAAGAGGCTTCACAAAGGGAACTCTGGGAAGTAAGACCTTAGAACAAGATGACCATGCACTGGGCCCTGTGAGCCAGGGCACTCCACGAAGTGAAGGAAGAGGATTCTGTCAATATTTTTATGACATCCAGGAACTCAATCCATCACCATTTACAAGATGTGGGAGTGGCTTGCCCTTTGTATTTCCCTGCTGATCTCCAAACATCTTCAAGGTACTGGGTTATCTCACCTGGGCCAAAAGGAACCAAGAGTCTTAATTTCAGCTGAGTCTGGAACATTCAAAGGGGTTTGGGGCTCCCAAGAGCCTTCTTGTCTCCTAGTTTCCTATCTATTGACCATGAACAGGATTAATGACATGTCCAGGGCCTCGTGAGCATGTTAGAAAGAAATCACTGGGTCAGTAGGATGCAGCTGGTTCTCTTATGTGTCCCTTTTGCCTTGGAGATGTGGAGAAAACAACTGGGGAGGGGATTTCCTGTGTTGATTGACATTTCCTACGTAAACTGTAAACAATCTGTGGTGGTTTGTTACTTTTGACCACCAGGGGCCGGTAATTGATAAGACCTGAGTTGAAAGATATCACCTAGGCAGCTGGTTGGGCTGAGATCCAGCATAGTGTATTGCTTGGGCTGGGATTTGTCTAGGTAGGGAGGTTCCTTCTTGATAAGAAATGGTCTATATAAACAGCTGGAACCAAGGCTTTTTAGAGATTCCTAGTTGACAAGAGCCCAGAGAAAGGTGCCTTCTTTGGAACATGAGAACCTCCCAGACACAGTAAAAAGTTGTCCATGGACATGGATAAGTGCTTTACCACACTTAGAGCTGAGAAAGCGCCAAAGCATCCGAGACCACAAGCAGGCTCAGAGGCAGGAGAAACAACCCTGACTGACTTAATGGCATTTAACAACAACGACAAAGTGGAAGTGCATTTGACCTTTGCCTGATAGGAACCAGCTTGTTGCTAATTTAAATTTATGCAGTCAAAATTAGCCTTGAAGTTACGTTACAGATTATCTTTGTAGTCAGTGGGGAGGGGGGAGAGTGTGGAAGGGGACAACATCATGGCTGAGATTAATGGGGACATGGGGACAGTGTCGGGACCATGAGGTTGCAGAGGAGATCAGTAGAAGAGGTGTCAGGGTTAAGGATGGGGTAGAATGGAGGTGGTAATAGGGACAGGCCCCCAAGCTTAATGCAAAAGTGTGTCTTATAACACTTGGAGCAGTTCACTTACTTGTTAAGAGCTTGGCATGTTTGCTCTGGGAAGCCTCTCTCCTGTGTCTCAGGGTGCCATTCTCAGGGTGAGTGATCTGTCGAGGTGTTCTGCCCTGCCAACCAAGGGCCAGCCTGAGACCCAAGTCAGACCCCTGGGGCAAAGGTTGCAAAAAGCACTGGACACCAGCTGAAGCAGGTTCACCTGAAGGGGATCCCCACCAGTTTCTGCCTCCTGGCACCCAGATCTCTCTTCTCCCGACATATTCCTACTTCATAAAAGCTGCCTTACAGTCTTCCATGAATTCTACATACATCTAAGGATCCCTCATGAGCAGAAATTTCCAGAGACAGACATTCTAGGGACGACTGGGGGTAGGGTAAGGGCCCAGGCAGGAAGCTGGGCTGGAGTCTATGGCCTGGATGTTGTTAGGGGAAGGGTTGAGCAGCACCAACTTCTATGGGTTCAGCTGCAAGAAACCCAGATATGGAATGCAGGCCCAGGTCTTTCCCTGGGGTCTCCCTGCTGCTGCCCAAAGGGAGGGACACTTTTCCATGATAGTCACTCAGGTTCTAATGGGACCACCTACTAGGATTCAACCTCTCCCTGTTTCTCTGCTTCCCAAGTGGCCTCAGTTGGCTAAGCTGAGAAGATGGGCTCTATGCATTCCAGGGCCCTTCAGGTCCCATGAGCCGCCTTGCTTAGAAATAAGATGACTCGTGTAGTTCTTGTGTCCATATCGTCATCAGACGTGAGGGAGTTGAGAGAGTTGCCT